CACCAATGCCACCGGCCAAGTCCAGCCAGGGTTAGAATCCGAGCTCAGTCAGCTGAATTGCAAAGCTGGGAGCTTCCCGTTTTTTAAAAGAGGCTGGTGGAGCGCGACTTCTAGCCAGAAGTTACCCAGATTGGATTCGGCTGTTGGCATTGGTGGCAAAATGCATCTGATAATATCCGGCTGTATCCTGAATTAGAATCGAAAATGGGAAAGGTAAGCCAGGTTTTTAAGCTATGCAATAAACTCCTATGTATAACCAAAAAGTCTCAAATAGTTTCCATGATTCCCTAGCACTGAGCCAGGACAGTTAAAGTGGCCTCAAGATGGATTATTTCTGGCAGTCTATGCCACAATGCCATAGCAGTTTAGTTGTTTACATATTTCAGAAGGCAAAGCTGTGCAGTTTGCCTCTGGATAGCAGCCTTGCCCCCCAAATAAAGGTGAGTGATAAGGGGAGGATGTGTGCAATGGAAGCACTTTCCTCTTAATTTGCCAATAGTATTGGAATGGTATAATGACCTTAAAAAAACACCATTTGAGCCTATCTAGCTATTGCTTAAAAGAGATTTAAGAGACTCAGTATGCAAAAGGATCTGGTTGTATCTTTGAGGCTAAGGAGCTTATTGCACCACTAAAATAAACCTTCTTACCCCTCCCAACTTTAGACTTAATTTGGGCAGCATCCAGATACTATTACAGGGATTTTGCCACCAAATTCACCATCCATGTCCAACCTGGGTCGAATCTGGGTCCCAAGGGTGCTCAGCACAGCTCCTTTCAAAACTGGGAGTTTTCTAACTTAAGAAAATGGCCACCAGAATGTTCTTGGGGCCAGGCTAGATGCGGGTGGCAGATTCAGCAGCAGCAAAAAAACAAACAAAACAAAACAAAAAAAAGTATCCAGATGCCACCCAAATTAAGATTGAATTCAGGAGAGGTAAGAAGGTTTATTTAGTGGTGCAATAAGCTTCTAACTAAAAGAAAAAAGTTGGTAGCATGAGCTTGCCACCTCATATCCATACCTACGAGGTTTTGAATTGACATTCTCACACACAACAGGCTTATATAGATCTGTCTCTGGACTCTCCACCCTATGCACTTGAGGAGTAGGTTCAAGTCTAGGAAAGCTCATGCTACCAGCTTCTTTCTTTCAGTTAGGGCCTAAGCAGACGGGCGGCCATGGGCCCCCCTGGGAAGGTGCACCGCAGGACCGAGGCATCCCCAAGCCTCGATCCCACGGTGCACCATTGTCGCTCCTGGAAAGGAGAGCTAAAATAGCACTCCTTTCATATGTCGCTGAAAGTGCACTGCAAAAGGTTGCGGTGCACTTTTGGCGACTTTTCCGCCGCAGCATGTCCGGACGCTGCGGCGGGAGGCCCTCCTTGGAGCGCCAGCTGTGCGGAGGGCCGGCTGCTCCGAGGACAACCTCGGGAGGGAGGATGGGGCGCCGAGTGTGCGGCTGCCCCTCCTCTTCCCTGTGCCGAAGAAGACCCAATTGGCTGTCTGCTTAGGCCCTTAGTCTCAAGGGTGCTATTAGATCCTTTTGCATACTGATTTGCCAGATGAACATGACTATTTAAGAGATCCAGGGATACATCCAGATAGAGACCTCCAAGCACTACTAGTCAAAGCCACAGTGCATACATAAAAGTTATTAATATGGGACTTAATGAAGTCTGTGCTGTGGGTGGGACATTATGCTCATGAGAGACAAAAACATTTGTGGTTTTTGTCTAATAATAATAATAATAATAATAATAA